AAAATTTTAAATTGCTAATTTTAAATTGGTTTACATTTTTAAACAATATGGTTTTATTCTGGTTTTAATGGCTTTTAAGATGTGTTTTTATGCTTTGACCTTTAGGGGTTCAAAAGCCCACAATCCCAGTGTCTTTGCTCCTGATCTGGTTCTCAGTAACAAGTAGCACAGTAATACTTGGGGCGCTTGGGGGAGGGCCCAGATTAGAGGATGCAAAGCCAGCAAAAAGAGAGAGAGTGGAAAAAAGAGCTTCAGCTCCTTGTAAGTGCATAATGGTGCACACCTGTACAAGAAGAGAGCCCAGGGATCTTCTGGTAGCATCATAAATAGAGTGTATAGCCACATGTAGTAAAGCCTGCGAATTGAGACTGGAAAAGAGGCGCACGACAGGCACGGAGAAGAGGCACCTCTTTGGCTGCACACCTGTCTGCAGGTCTCTTGAGCCCCTTTGTCCAATCGAACTGGCCAGCTCAAAGTTGGTTCCAGAGAGTCCGCCTCTCCCCCCCCTTCCATCTCAGACCATCTGCTAATGCTGAGAGCTCTCATTTAGGGCACGCCCAAAGCAGGGGGCCCTTTTTCTCCCTGGCTCTTCCGCCACCGTCGCCTTCCCCCTGCCAGGTAGTGCCTGGATAATTATTAGCCATTAATTGGGTTTAGGACCTTTGACAGTGGGAAAAGTGGTGGGTGACCCGAGGACTCCCCCAATGAGCTGCTGGGGGCGGGCCGGGTGGAGGCAGGATCCCGATGGTCTCTCTCTCTCTCTCTCTCTCTCCCGATGGTTGGTCTCTCTCTCTCTCTCTCTCTCTCTCTCTCTGGCACGCAGAATAGGTGTGTGGGGGGGCAGATCATTATGGCTACCTCTCTCTCACCACCCTTTGGGGGCAACAAGAGAACATCTCTATCTCTCTCTCTCTCTCTCTCTCTGGCAAGCAGAATAGGTGTGTGGGGGGGAAGATCATTAGGTGGAAAGGACAGAAACTGCAAATTAAGACCTGATTTCTTTCCAAGGGAAACATTGTGTTGTTTTTTCCCCCTAGTCAGGCTGCTGCATGCCAGGCGCTTACTGGAATGACCTGGCTTCAGGGGATGAGAAAGGGAGGAGGCTAGGGGCTGTCCCCAGCCTGGACCTGCCCTGAGCGCCCTGGAGCCTCGCTCAGCTTAGCCCCCGTCACAACGGAGCCAATGGGCTTGACCGAGGAGTTGCTGTTGCCAGTGCTGGTGCCATCACTGCTGCTACTAGGTGGGAGAGCGGCAGCCCGGCACAGGCGGCAGCAGCAGGCTACTCTGTTTAGGCGAGGGAGGGGAGGGGCGGCAGGCCAGTGGGGTGCCCCCTCAGTTTTGTTGTGAATGATGACTCACTCCTGTTGGCTAGCTCAGAGGGCGGCGATGGGCGGCGAATCACGATGGGTGCATGCAGGGCAGCAGTGGGCATGCACGAGTTGGGGCGGGTGGGAGGGCCCTATCTGGATGGCAGTGCCGGCGATGGGTGCACAGCACAGAGCAGCATGGGCCCGCCGGGCCACATGACACGAGTTTTGTGAGCACTGAGCAGCAGGGCTTTTGGCAGGGCAGCAGGGCGGCAGGGCAGTTTGGCGCCCTCCCAGGGGCCCACCCTAGGCAAAAGTCTAGTTTGCTTAGTGGGTGAGCCGGCCCTGTGAACCATGAACCTTCATGAACCTTCCTGCTTACTGAATTTGTGGGTTTTGTGGGGTTTTTTGAGTTTCATGATGTGGTAGAATGGCTCCCCTGGGGACTAGAGTCACCAAACTCACATCGAGTCTCCTGCTGACTTTCCTCTTCTACCAAAGGGAGATCGCCCCCCTTTTACTTCCAACTCAGCAACCCTCGACTTCCAGGTCTCCTGGGTTCCCCCTTTTTGGCCTGGCCTCATCTGCTGGCCTCTCTCTGACTGCCCCATGGGCCAGTTTCCCAGAACTCCTGCTGTTTCCATCAAAGAGAGATCACCCCCCCTTTTCTTCTGACCTTGCAATCCTCAACATCTGGGCCTCCTGTGCGGTCCCCATTTTTGACCTGGCCTCATCTGCTGGCCTCCCTCTGACTGCCCCATGGGCTGGTTTTTTGGAACTCCCACCACTTCTTTCAAAAGAAGATCACCCCCCCCTTTCCTTCTGACCCTGCAATCACTGACTTCTGGGCCTCCTGGGGTCTCCCTTTTTGGCCACCAACACAAATTGCATGAGTATCCATGGCCCTCAGCTCACAAACCACATATGGGGCCCTTTTTGTGATTAATTTAGGTTCATGACGAGGTTCATGCCCATCTCTATCCTCAGTATTCCCCGCATACTTCTCTCCTTCCCATCCACCAAGCAATCCACCTTTTATCTGCCCCCCCATCTTCAGCTATATTTATTATTTCATTTATATCACACCTTTCTCCACAATGGAGATCCAAACCAGTTTATATTATTCTCTTCTCCTCTATTTTATTCTCAGAACAACCTTGTGAGGTAGGTTAGTCTCAGAGTGTGTGACTGGCCTATAGTCACACAGTATTCTTCCATGGCAGAGTGGGAATTGTATCTCCCAGATCCTAATCTGAAACGCTAACCACTACACCAAACTGGGTTTTGTTGGGTGGCTGTTGTTGAACAGTAGCAAGTAGTTGGGCTTGGGTGAGTCATGCAGTTTAGGTGATAGCAATTGGTGTGATGGTTGCTGCCAGATCTGGCCCTGTGGAGTCCTCCCTTAGAGGCCAAAACAGTCATGGAAAGGGCCCTGCTCCCCCCCCCACACTTTTTACTGACAGAAACCAGGGCTTGAAGGCTGGCAGTACTGTTGTGGTTGCGTAGCAACTGCCATTGAGGGCATCTGTTTCTTAAAGCTACAGGCACTGCTTCTGTTGTTTTGGGTGTTTTAACCTCCCTCTGTGTGTGGGCGTGTGTGTGCGTGTGTGTATTTTGAGACCTCTAGAGGAAATTGTTGCCAAGCAAATACTTTTCTGTGGGCCTTTTTCTTTTATCCTTCTCAGATTAAAGATATCACCAAGAGTCTGCTGCTGTCTGTCCATAGAGATTAGCTCTGATATATTCTCTGAGGCACAGGTGAGCTTACCTGTCCTGCTTCAGTTCATCCTTCAGTCCTGTTCTCTACCTAGCACACAGGAGTCTCTGGTAGCTTTAGCAACAAATCTCTTTATTCATTCTAATTAGGGTTGCCAAAAATCCTGCCCCTTTTACAGAAGCTTAACAGCATGCTATTTACCAAATGATGTTATTTATGTCTGTGATATGAAAAGTTTCAGCTTCCTATCTCCACTTATTTAACCACACCAAAGGGGCAAGACATTTTTCTAACCCTAATTCCAACTGGGAGGAGAATACTTACTGATGGAAAACTCTATACAGTGAGAGACTACCTCAACACCAAACACAAGGCCAAAGCTGAGGGTAGGGTGGGCAGTCTCCTGTCCTCAATCTTTGTTCCTTGTTGCCTCCTGATAGGGCAGCAAGGGGAAAGGGGGGTGAAACAGCATCCCTCAGTGTCACAGTGTCACTTCCAACTGTGTAATCAGAAGTGACATCACCATGTCATGTGATGCTCTAACATTTACCCAAAACCCTTATGGCAAAAACCATGGCAACATGGGGCACTGCCCCTGCAAGTCTCCTGGGGCTTGCCACACTGAGCCTCCTCCCATATGGTTTTTGAAGGTGAAACAGAAAGTAGTTCTTATAAGGTCTCTTAAAGCTATACCATGCAATATGTAAGACAGGAAGTGAGCTTTATGTTGAACAGTGCCTTTATGTTGAACAGTGAAAACACTATACCTGAAGTACTGACAAAATTATATCAAAAATGGAAATTGCACTGCTGACATTGACTCACATGTTGGTTTTAATATGCAATATAAAAAGGAGGGCAGGCTCTGCACAGTGATACTGTTTATTAAAAACCTGTTGATCACCTGTTGTGCCACTAACTGAGGTATATCTCCACATTGGTGAAGTAAGTAACTTAAAGGTACTGAGGGATCTTTAAGGATCTGGAGTGCAGGTCTGCTTATAACTAACTTTATAATCATGTTTCTTCTTTATCTTTTTCTTTGTTCAGAGGCTTCCATCCTGAGCTATGACGGCAGCATGTACATGAAGATCATTATGCCTATGGTCATGCATACAGAGGCAGAGGATGTGTCCTTCCGCTTCATGTCCCAGCGAGCTTATGGGCTGCTAATGGCCACCACATCACGTGATTCAGCCGATACACTGCGCCTGGAGCTAGATGGGGGCCGTGTCAAACTCATGGTCAATCTAGGTATCGTATAATGACATATCCCTCGGCTTTTCGTTTGAGCTTGTTTTTGTTTTCTTGTCTGCCTTTCCTTCCTCCCCATGAACTGAATTATAAGTAGCCGTTGATGTATTTCTGTAACAGTATTAACCACGGAGAATCAATCTCTCTAGCCATCGTTGCATGGAGATTTTATATGTTAATTCCTGGTGATGGATAATGGTGGTTTTTAAAAGTCTGTTTATTTTTTTTTTAAGTTTCCTTTCCTGGTTTTGGAACTGGTTAGCTTTGTGTAAGACATGCTACTCGGTCCATCTTTTGATCAATCACATCCTCATTGATCCAGTCTCTCTGCCACTATTCAAAACAGTCAAGGGAGGGTCTGTAGCTGTCACCTTGTAAAAAGAGTGGTTGTTTTACATTTCAGACATTCCCAGTTATCTCTTGATTCCTTTTTACAGAAGTAGTATGGGAATCAGTGTGCTGGCTTAATGTGGCCTAAGAAGTGACCTAAAGGGATGTTTTCAGGACCACGCTAGCAAACAGTGCACAGCATTTTCAATAATATGATAAGCAGATGGGAATTTTACAAAAGATCAATAAATACATTTACCTAATAACACTGAAGCAAACAGGCAAAGTAGCTTCCCCCTTCTAAGCAGAGTGTGCTTCTGAATGAATCCAGATCTGGAAACCTTCTGGGTTTTGCTTTTGAGATAAAGGAAATGGTACGTTGCCTCGGATTTCCATGCTTGAATCTATCTGTGCTGGAGCAGTATAAACTGCCTTTTTATATCCAGCCAGAAGTACACCCAGTATTGTGCTGCACTAGGCTATAAGGGGGAAAAAATATTATTCTGGTCCCCTAACGTATGCGTTGAGTACTTGAAGCATTCATTGCTTACAACTGAGCTGGAATGTTCTTTGTTCCTTCAGTGCTAAGGTATCTTCGAGAGAGTTTGGCATGTATGCCTGTTTCTCTCTTCTCTGATACCATACTATAATAAATGATGTTTGTGTCCTTTCCTCAGTCCCACCACTAAAGATATTTCGGATAATTTGTTCTCTGGATAACAAATGGCTTCTTTGTCTGCTATTGGCAAAAGCTAACAATTATCAAAAAAAGAAAGGAAAAGATGAAGAGGCTGACACAGGCTAAGCTATCTGTTCTGTCACTAATATAATCTATACTCTCACCTCGTTTCTCCATATTTCCCAACAGAAAAATAAGCAATGGACCGCAGAGCATTCTGGGGTCTTCACATGAAAAGCCCTGCTAAAAACCCAAATGCTGCCATGTTTGTTGCCAAGGTCACCTTGTGTTGCTGAAGGGCTTGTGGCATGGCAGTTGTGATGTCACATGAGGTCATTGCTCATTGGGGAAAATCCAGCCTTATAAAGTTCTGAGGCAGCAATGCCTGGAATAAGAGGAAGCCCATGATAATGAAACAGGGCAGCTTCAGGATTTTTGACCAGCTGATGGGCATCTCTCCAGCTCAGGCTATACTTGGATGTATAGAGTAGCCTTATGTTCACTCATCAATAGGAGTGGCTTCAAATGTAATGGAAATGATGGTGGCACTGGACATAGACGCAAAACATGTTCTGGTATGGAAACAACTTGTGAATGCTATACTAAGAACTAGGTTTTCCAGCCTCCAGGTAGGGCTTGGAGATCTGGAACTATAACTGATCTGCAGACTACAGATATCAGTTTTCCCAGAGAAAATGGCCATTTTGGAGGGTGGGCTCTATGACATTATACCCCACCCTCCCCTGGCTCCACCCCAAATCCCTAGGAATTTCCCAACCCCGAGTGGGCAGCCCTGCTGCTTTACTGAAGGTAACCCCTATTGAATAAAATGGGACTTACTTCTAAGTAAACCTACTTAGAATTTCTGTGTGTCTATTTCAGATATGACCCGTGGGGGGGGGGGAAATGCTGAAACAGGAAGGGTAAGGGCATCTGAAGTCTCTCCGACAGTACAATTCTGAACAGTTACACTCCCCTCTGTCTACTGAAGTAAATGGTACATGTCTGTTTAGGATGGCACTGTGAATACCTGAATTTATTCCAAGAATCCAAAGAAAAAGCTGTATTCTTGTAAGACAAAAATAAGCATATTGTTCCAGAACTTGATACAGATCACCAGGAGCCACTACATAATTTAACTAGTTCTTAACCATCTGCTGTCTCCCTCATTTAAACAGAGTTTTGTGGTCCTTTTTACTTGTCCTTGACTAGAATGTTGAGTAAGGCTTTTGTGTTAAAAATGAAATCCATGACGGGCCCTAGCAGAGGTATCTGTTTGAGGATTAGTACAGAAACAAAGCCTAGAAAAGCTAAAACTACCTATGGCCTTGTCTGCAATAACAGCAGCATCACTCCAACTTAATTGCAGAAATGGTGCTTCAGTCTTGCAGGGCCCTGAAGGTGACATTCAGCACAATAGCTCTGTGATGCAGCAGTGTCAGATCTGCAATGAAACAGTTCCAGATATCACCTGATGTCTAAAATTTCCCACAAAAGCCAAAATTGTCATAACATTGAAGGCAACCGGTGGGTCATGAGACCTTATATTTAGTAACCTTTCCCACCTCAAATAACTCAAATATGAAATATCATTTTGGGGAATAGTTCTTCAGACCATTATGATGTATGGGATTTGGACAACTTGTGGGATCAGGAGGACCCAATATCTAAACATTTCTCACATTATTTTAAAAAATCCACTTATGTTAAAAGTCAAAATTACAAATCCACGAATAATAATGAGAGATTGCAGATTGGGATGTCAGACAGCTGGAATCCAAATAATCTGCTTCAGCAGAGAGGGTGGGGTATAAATCAAATCAGTCAATCAATTAATAAAATCTGGTATGCCAGGAATATGTTTTGGCAAAGACTGTTTTGAATGGTATTCAAGATTCTTGTGCTCGCTTTTCATTTCCTTTTTCGTTCCATTTGTTTTTTTCTCAAGCCCTGTCTGTTTATTATGTTCTTTTCTGTGATCTTTTTACGCTGTGTATCCAACTTGTAAAAGCTTCCTTACACCCCATCAGTCATGGTATATCAAAAGATGGTATTCAACCCTTCAAAGGCCTGAAGCCTGCGGCCCGCACAGCAAACAGCCCTTCGAACAAAGTGTACAGAGCAGCCTGCAGGGGCTGGCATATCCCTCTCACCTGCACAACACCCTTTAGTAAAAACAAAAAAAAAACAAAACAAAAAACCAGGAATGCATGAAGACTGGATGGAGATTGTAGTGTGGGTGGGTGAGGGAAGGAGAGCTTCTTATATGAATGCTGCTTCTTTGTTTCAGATCTTCCCCCAGTGGGAAACTAGGGCAGCATATTTGCTTTCTTAATAACACATTTCATGACATTTTGAAGCCTTGTTTTGTAAAGAGTAGAAGCCCAAAAGTGACAGAGCTTGTATCTCTGTTGAGAAAGGGAGGGAGGGAGGGAGGAAGAGAGGGCGAGAGACAGAGAGAATTCAGTGAGTCATAGCTTCACACATGCCCCAGAATTTACCCTGCTGCTTAAAGCATGTGTTGAGAGTGAGAGAAATGGCCTGTCATACAGCCACAGCCACCATGGAGAAGTTGGCGCTTTTGGAAGGTCGACGTTGTGGTATCACACCCCTGCTGAACTCCTTCCCCAAATTCTGTCCCCCAAATCTCGAGGAATTTCCCAACCCAGAGTTGGCACCCCTTTTCCCATCATTTTCCTTGGTGGGCTGGGACAGGGTGACAGCTACAGGGAGATGCTTTAATATCACTAAGCTTTTCTGTCCTTCCTACCATACTTGCCTTCTAGATGTACCAGAATGAAGCTTTAACTCAAGCTTCATCAAGGAAATGTGGTCAGTCAGCTGCACTTCCCAAACCCAGACTATGATAAAGCTTCAGTGTCTGGGGAAATACTAATGATATGTCTTCTTGGATTTTGCAGCCATTCATTTCTGCTTTTTTACCAAAAGCATGTGATTCATCTGTTGAAGACTTATGGTACAATTTTCTTCATTTCCCAGTAGGAAGAGCTGGCCTTTTATGGGCCTACTCATTATTAAGTATCATTGTTATAAATGCTTTTTACTAGTATCCCTAGCCAAAAGTCATAGTCTGTATACATATGACTTTGTGCCCCACCCTCGTCATTTAAATTAGAAGCACACTTGGTAACTATGTTAAAAATGTATCATCTCAGACAGTTGCATAAACCTGCAAAAACATTAGAGTGCATTTTATAAGTGATGGAAAACAGTCAAAATTGAAGTAAAGAGGGAACTACAAATGCAAGGTCCAGCAGAAAATAAATAATGTGTCCCCAGTTGGGGGCTCTTAGTAATGACTAGTGAGAATAGAAAACTAAACAAAAGCTAGCTAGACCCAAATAAAACAACACCCAGAACAGGTGGGAAAAGGCATCAGAAGGCATGTTAATAGAATTCTTAAAAATTCTGTCCCTTAAATTAGGTTCTCAGATGGACTTGATAGGCTATTCACTTTGCAAATAATCTTTTAAAAATCCAACTTGTGTCCAATTTGTTTTAAGTGACATTATCTCTCTCTCACTCTCTCTGTCTCTCTCTCTCATGCACACATTCTTTCTTTCCTTCTTTCTCCTCTTTCCCACCTCCAACTTTGGGAAGAGCTTTTTATTTTTAAAAAAGTTCCCCTTTATCTCTCTCCAGTAACCCACCTTACTAACACACACCTGTTGAAGGGATATAGCCACCCCTGTACGGTGATCGTACCAAATGCTCAAGGACTGTTTGCTCCCACTTTTCTGTTGCGGTTGACGACACATGACAAACCTAATCGCACGAAACCAAACCCATATTTTCTGTAGAGAAGATCTGCTGGACAACAGACTCTCTCTATGGCTTCACTACTACCGATTGATTTATTCCTGGTCACTCAGATTGTTTGTCTTGTTCTTTTATTTCTTTTCTTCTTCTTTTTTTAAATCACCCTTTCTTTGGAGTAATGACAAAGGCTGTCTTATCATTTACTGGATCTCAAGACAAAGTTGTTCCCTGAAGCACAGCGTAGTTAAGCACCAGCTGTTCCACTTCATGCATTCTAGAAAGAGAGTCTACCCTCCGCTATCCAAAGTCCTGGCTACTCAGCAGTAGATCTCTTTATGATGCTCAGTTTAGATTGATGGAATGGTGAGGTGCTGCTGGCTGTAGGCCTGGGCCTTACCAAGGGAAGAAGAGTCTGGTCGAATTAGCCATGTGGTTCTCTGAGGTGTTGCTCAAGCATACCTTGCAATACTTTAACAAGGATTGTGTTCAAAACCAGAGAACTGAAGGAGGCAGATTGCTTCTTATTAAGTTATGACTGATCACCTGTCAAGCTTGCTGTACAAACAGCAAGTGCTCACAAGCACCCCCAGCTGACATTCCAGCTTTACTGTTTTGTTTTGTTTCAGAATTATAATAGGCAAACATTTTTTTTAAGTGTTATCTAGGTCCTTTTTGTTTGTTTTGTTCATCCGTCTGCCCTTCCGCTGTTTGAAACCTCTGAGTGAAGCTTGTGGAGTTGTCAAAGGTAACCAGATCTGCCACTGCACTGCCTAGTTCATCTTCTTCCTGAATGTTATCAGTGCCTCATTCAGTCTTAACATTCAGGCAGCAAGGTGAGATGGGGCTCTGAGGAGATGGCTGGCTGGCTGCCTTTGCATCAACTCTCCCCAACCAATCAAAAATGCAACCAACCCTCCAAAATGCACTGAAATCTGGGCTGGGCGTTCGTGCGGTTAGCTGTTTGCAAGTGGCCATTTTATGATAGGGGACAGGTAGGCAGCATGCTAACCCTTTCCTCATCTTTGGGGAACACTGGCAGCACAGTTTTTTGGAAAGCATTTTGGGCTATTGCAGCGGGAACAATGTGTTCTTAAGAGAGGTGGAAAGGGTTAAATATTTCACCAGCAAATATTGCCAAGCCAGGTATACTGTATTGGTTTGGTGGTGAATTTATGCAATAACACAAAACATACTAAAAAAGCATTGTCACAACTTAGTTGTCTTTAAACAGGAGATTTTTTTAAAGTGTCACTAGGACAAATATGTGCATTTTGAGGAAGAATACCTGTGCCTTAATGGCTAAGAAGCAGTTTGTGATTAGAGTCACTAGATAATCTTTAATGCATCATTCTCTGTATTGTCTCATATGCAGAATATACTACTTTTACATACACGGCCACACACATAAAACACACACCTGGATAGTTGTGAAATAGATATACAGATCTGTACATGATATACAGCCACTCTTGAATTTGTACATAATGTATATAAAAATATAAAATGGCCACATCTCTTTGCGTGTGTCTGTCCCCGGAAGGGTGGACTGATTGTTTTTGGATGTCTGCAGCTGTTACCTTGAAGGATGCAATTTCATCTTTCATTTATTTTTCCCCATCTAGACTGTATCAGGATAAACTGTAACGCCAGTAAGTTTCCCCTCAAGTTTCATTTTGTTCTCTCTCTATTTTTTAAAAAAGAAATTAACATTATTTCCTTTGCTGTTTTATAAAGTGTTTTTCTTCTTTTTTACTTTGTTTATTTGGGAAGTTGGGAGTTGGGAGTTGGAGCTTGGGTAGATTCAGAGCTGGGGAGGATTTGCAGTGGCTGTATGTGAATGTAATGTGTGTGTGAGAGAGATTTCTCCAGGGGCAAATAACAATTAAATTTCTGAGCTTGGCAAACAAACACCGAGGGAATGGGAAAAACTGAAAATGTATATTAGTAGTTTTCTGCTATCTTGGGGCAAAATATCCTTAGAAGCAGTTTTGATGCTGCATAAAAATAACAAGTACTGTATGCACTTCTCCACTACAACAACATTGTTTTACTTTGATTAAAAAATAGTTTGGGCCACAGCAGTGACTGCTTTGTCTGATATTTTTTCAGTATCTGTTTCTTTTGGATTATGCTTCTAGATATAAATGCAAATCAAATTCTTGGGTGGGAGAAGGTTATAAATCTACAGGTAGATCATCCTGCCAACCTATGGTTTCATGCTTTCTACCTCTTTGAACAAGAAATTCCAGAAAAGCTTTGTAAAGATTAGCATAATGGCTGCAGTCACATATGCTATATAATCCGCTTTCAGTGCACTTTCCAATTGGATTTTACCAGTTCACACAGTAAAAATCTGGTTTGAAAGTGGATTGAAAGTATATAGTGTTGTGACTGCAGCCAATGTAAAAGGGGGCTTAACATTTCTTTCCCCCACACATTAATCCAGGACTCTTATGAGGCCCACAAACAACTAGTGCAAGGGAGGGAACAGGAAACTGCTCAGGGGGGAGTGGGCGGAGCCTCTCTGATTGTGGCCTCAGCATGGCGGAACAACCTCACCTGCTGCAGTCAAGCAGCATAGAGCTTCTACCCAGTGCTGCACTGCTGGGTCTCCAGTCCGCCCATATGGGTTTTCTTTTGCACACCACTCCCAACCTATGGAGCATTGCAGTGAGGATACATTAACTCGGGGCTTACCAGCTGCCGTCCTTTATACAGTTTATATCTCTGGTACCCAGCAATAAATTTTATGGCACACATGGCCCAGCCCAACAAAGTGATATTTATCTCAGATCTGGCCCTCATAACAAATGACTTCGACACCTCTGCATTAATCAAAGTTGTCATTAACCATTTAAAAGGCAAAAAGACCATTACCCATCCTTTGCCAGTTTTTTGTAACCTTTAAAGAGCTGTAAAGACAACAATGGGGCTAATTTCAATTAGCCAAATAATATGGGAGTAGAAGGGTCAAACTCTTTCTCATACAACTGTTATCAGAATATGGCCCCGCGTGCTGAAATTGTTCTTTTAAAACTGTCAGAATGATCCAGTCACTGATCTCCTACAGTCAACTTCATTTTTACCCTAAGAAGAAGAATCAAAGTTTTTCATTTAAATCATTGTCTCTTAGCACAAAAAATGATGAGGAGAGAGGAGAAGGGAATATATGAAGCAAGATAAAAATATCAGGATTTTTTTTCCTATTGGAAAAAATATTCACTTCACCAAATGTTTTGATCTCAGTTTCCTCATGAGTACCAGTACCTCATTAAATCCTTTAGCTTTCATGAATTTTTAATTGTTTGAGCTTTTACATATTTATTATTTAAATACATTTTTCTCAAGAATTGATCTTAGTTTAAATTTAAAAGAAAAACAGCTTGGACTTTCCTGGTTTTTTGAAATGCTGTTCTCATGGGATGTAGCTATTTTGGGCATACTGTTTCCTCACAGGAATGGCCTGGTCTAACGGCTTCTCTCTCTCCATTTTTTAAACAAAAACTGAAAGTGCAGCCTAAACCAGAGGGACATCCCTTTACATCCATTGCAATCAATGGATTTAGAAAGGTGTAAGTGTGCTTAGGACTTCACAGTGTTAGAGAATTATTTATTTAGTTATTTAGTAAATTCAATTTATTAGGCCACCCTTTCCTGCAAGCAGGGCTCAGGGCGGCTTACAACAGAACAAATACAATAAATATTGCAGTTACAATCAACGTTAAAGTGCCTATAATATATCTGCAAATAAATCAGTATACTTCCCAGGATGGCAGAAGAAAGCTTTTAAATTCCACAAACCACCTAGGGGGGGATGGGGTTGCAGAGAGTGGGGTGTGTATGAGAGTGACTACACTTACACACGAGTTCACCCCTGTAATTATATCAGGGTGTTTTTACATTCTACACCAAACTTGAGTTCACCCCTGTAATTATCTTGGGGTATTTTTTGTTTCCACATTAAATTGAAGTCACCCCGGTTTCGCCCCACACTTGTCCCAGGATAAATGGATGCTGTTATAATCAGGGATAAATGCATTGTGTCCCTAGTTGAACTCTGAAAGAAACCAAGGAAAGGACCCCAGAGTGTAACACTCTTCTGGGGGCATACTGGGAGAGGCGGTCCCGAAGGGAAGAAAAGGGAAGATTTGCAGTAACCTTTTGCTAAGTGTAAAGACAATCAGTGATAGTGAATGGATAATGATACATCATACATGATTTTTGTTTGTTTGTGTGAAACTTCCAGGATGGCTAACTGCCAAACCACATATAGTGCTGGAATTCATTGGAAGTCCAGACATGTAATTGGCCCTAAAATGCAGCCATGATAGGAAAGGAGACATTTCTAGAATCAGAAATGCCCCTTCAAGCCCCAACTGGGAAAAGAGTCGAGCACAATACGGAAACACCACCACAGCCGACTCAAAACAGGACATTTCTACAAGATGATGTAATAAATAAGTGCAGGAAAGAGTTGGAATATTTTTTAAAGATAAATAACACAAAAGGAATGTCTTCAGCAACAATCTGGGAAGCAAGTAAAGCTTTCATCAGAAGAATTTTATTAGCTGTTGCTGCCAAGAAGAGTGGAAAAAAGAAAAATCAAGGTATTAATAGAAAAAATCCAGAAATTGGAGCAAAAGCACAAAACCCCACAGTAAAGAATATTAGCAGAAATCAGACAATTAAAAACCCAAATGGAAGAGGTACAGAAATTAAAAAACACACACACACAAAGACATTCGGACATGTTAATAAACCTAGCAGATACTTGGCATACAGTATAAGGAAGGAGAAATAAAAAAGAGTAATAATATTTAAAGAAAGGAGATCAAATTATATACAGAGGGAAAAAATACAAGAACAATTTATCAAGGCTCTCTCAGAACTATACAAAAGGAAATCTATCTCTGAAAACATAATAAGAGAATATTTAAAAGATATCCCATTCACAAAGTTCAGGTCAGAATACAGGGAAATTTTAAACGAAACAATAATTTAACCATCACAAAGATTTGTTGTTTTTTACTCTACACTAGAAAAGGCAGAGTCAGAAATAATATTAAGAGAAGAGGACTGTGTATGGAGGAACTTTGTGTAAATCTCCAGGAATTACCCAGATCTCCAGGAATTACCCAGGCCAGAGATAGCAACCCTAATATAGCCCCCTTCCCAGTTTGATGAGGGAAATGGCTATGATACCTTAAAATATCAGATCATGTTGTTGCTTCTGTGTACCAAACATGGGTTCTTGGTCTGTTTTATGACGAGCAAACAGAGATCTCAAAGCTTAGTTGAATGCTGATATTCTCCCGTTGTGGACACCAAGAGCACTGGGTACGAGAGTTCCGGCGCATACTGACAGGTAAGGCTTCAGTATTATTTTTTATTTCTGTTTATTTCTTGAAAGAATGGAGAAAAACTAATCTGTCATTAAATGGGTCTGTTCATGTTCCCTGAAATTGCCATTCTTGTTTTCTGCTCTCCCACATGTTTTGCTCCCTTCAGTCCTTCATTCTTCTCAGTATGAGATGGTAAGACTGAACAAAGTCTGGATGAAGTATGCTTTTTAAAAAAGGAAAATATCAACTATTAAGACTATAAAACATAGAGCTGCAACCATATAGCCTAGAGTTACCACCCTCCAAGTAATGCCTGGAGTTATCCTGGAATTGTAACTGATCTACAGTCTACAGAGATTAGTTCTCCTGGAGAAAATTTGTACCATAGATTCTAGGTGATATCCATCCCCAGATGTCCTCCCGGAGGCACTGCCCCCAGATCTCCAGGAATTACCCAGGCCAGAGATGGCAACCCTAATATAGCCCCCTTCCCAGTTTGATGATATTAGTGTTATATATGATGCTTTTAGCAAAACAAGATCTTCTTCTTCCAAAATTCTGAAATGAAGAAACATATTATCCTTAACTTTTGTTAATTGCACAGTTAATGCCGGATCACCCTGTCCTGGATGGCTGTGGTTAGCCCGCTCTCATCAGATCTTGAAAGCTAAGCAGTGGTTAGTATTTGAATATGAGACAATCAAGGAAGTGCAGGGTTGCTATGGTGAAGTAGGCAATGACAGACCATCTCTGTTCACCTTGAGAAGCCTATAGGGTCGCCATAAGTCAGCTGTGGCTTGACTGCACCTTCTACCACAAATGCTTGTTCAAAGGAGGCCAGATCTCTCTGAAAGTTGCGAGTTTATTTTACCCATGCTAATGTGTAGATATATGCAATGAGTTTTGTCTTTTCACTTCCTGATAGTCTGAGTGTATATGAAATATTAAGTTGACAAAAGGGCTTGTATGCATATTGTGCTTTCAAAGCATGTATTATTGTTTGTTTATTATTTGCATCTTGTTAATATGTCAAGGATAGAGGAAATGCATATTTGGTGCCCCCATGAAGGGGTGGGGGAAGCAGCTTGGGGACCAGTTTGAAACATACAGAAGCAATAGGCAGGGAAAGTGCTGAGCCCTCTCACTCTTTTCACCCAAAATGTAGCTGCCATTGATGATAAGCAAGAATATCACACTTTTGCTGCCTGAGTTACGTAGGCTTCCTATATATTTTTGAGCAGTATAAAAGGTGCCAGTTCTGGCTTTTAAAGCTCAAACGGATTAGGTCCAAGGTATCTGAAGAAAGT